AGAAAAGACAAAAGTTGTCAGCGTTCTTGTTCTGTGGACAAAAACTGCGACGGCTGTTAGAAACGGGGAGGGGCTTGCAGGCCAAGATGATGGGTCTCTTGGCTTCTGATGTATGAGTAACTAACTACGGAAAGTTAGTTTAGATTTTTGGTTTTGAATAAAAAGCTGCTTTCTCACAGATCTGAACAAATCCCATGCCAGAGGCAAGGATGAATTAACCTTGGAAAATCAGTCTGATATAATTTATGACATTTCTGAGTTGCTACCATGTGATAGTGTCCTTGCGTTTATAAGAAATCTAGTCTTTTATTAGTTTAGCACACAGATCAGACTTCCTCTCTCTCTTTAGGGTCAAGCAAGTTTATTAAGGACAGTATGAAGGACACGCTAGCTTTTCTGAAAAGAAATGTACAAATAGCAAGTCTAGGTGCATTGAGATATTATGTCTTGATTCATGGCATACATTGCAACGCCTAAAGTTACCCTTAACATACGTTTGAGCATGGCTGTTAGTCTGAGTGGCCCTGTGTTGGGCTGAGGACCTTCCCAGAGCTCCAGTCTGCCCACAACAGTTCAGTTAAATAGAGAAAATTGAAGATTAATTAGTATGCTTGTTCACGTGTCTGATGCGTAGTATTAGAACAATTTATCACAAACTCAACATTTACACAGGACGGGGCCAATATTGGGTTGACATAGAGTTCAATGTCTAAGATTGAATTCTTTATTAAAATTCTCAGAGTTACAAAGAGCTGAAGCCCATCCCATTTGCCATGGAGCCACCGGCAAGTTCCAACAACAACTCTGCATGCTCACACTCATTCCAACACAGCATATAATTAAAACATCATACATATTCTTAGACTGTGAGGGGGGCAGATTACCTGAGGAGAGCAAATGCATGAACAAGAAAACCATGCAAACTCCCCTTAAGAAAGTCTCAACTCAGATAAGTTTCCTTCTGTGGGGCAACCCTGCCAACCACATAAATCTGACCCATCAGATGTGGTTCAACACAATACGTGAATTATCTGCATTCGACTCGGGCCTTGATTAAAATCAAATGATCTTCATTTTCAAAGGCAGCAGCGAGGTTGACAAGCAATAGAATACCCAGAACAAGCTGATTAAGCCCTTTCCACTTGCCAGCAGGAGTGTGTTTACCCCCAATATTCTTGCAATTAAGTCAGAACTGAAGGTACCATCAGCCCCCCCCCCCCCCCCCCCCAGCAACATCTGTATGTGTGCATCTATGGAGAGAGAGAGATTATTAATTATTGAAGATTTACTAATACTTCTAAAACAGATTACTAGAGAGACATAACTTACAAAGCGCTAATGAGGGCCTTGTCGCAGTTTGTGAATCATAAATGTGTCAAACTCACTGCAGAACCCGTATCCAGCTTCCAATCAACGCAGCTTTCCACACAGTGTTTATGTTCATCGAATTCTAGTTTGCTGAGAGTCTATATTAGAATAAAATGCTGAAAAGGACTTAACTGTGAACATAGCCCTCACACAAATTAATGGCACAGGAAGGGCTTCACTCCGTCACAGAGGATGGCGGGCAGTCAACTGTAAACGTGTTGGGTATGCGTTGTGTAGTCCACTGACAACATGCCATGTTGCTGATTGTGTCTCAAGTGTTTTTTCTGCCCAGATTGAAGGCTTTAGTTTACGGGCAAAGAATCCTGATGAAATGCATTATTAGGTGAACCCGCCTGAAGTGGGCTGTGGGGGTGTAGGGAGACTGCTAACCCTTATAGAAATCGATGGAAAAAATGTTGTTGTGCGTCGCTGACTTAAATATCATTCTTATTCAAAAATTAGCAAAGGAACTCCTCTCCACTTTATTATTCAACTTTAACTTGTAAGAAATATTCAAGTTTTTTGCCTCCTACGATATTTCCTTACAAAGGATAATCTAACCCTTTATGTGATCAAAAGAAATGTTCATTAATATTAAAAAGCCTTTACAAGCGGGCAAATATTTAGTTTTCAACAGATGCCTTTTTAAATCTTCATCTTGTCCAGTTCCCAATGAAATCCTTCACCTACAGAACATATTTATAGGCAAATTACTTTTCTTTGACCAGATCTTCAAACGTGTCCAAAGGTTTCATATATATAATGAGTTTTTGCCTTCTGATGTCTGTTTCTTTGAACAGCAGGTGCGGTAATTCTCAAGGAGACACTGCTGGCAGTGAGAAACTAGCCAATTGGCCTGTGTACTTGTAATGCCTAAGCAGTGGTCTGAAGGTTAGAAAAAAAGCCAGCCAGACTGATCCCCAAATGGCAAGATTAAACCGGTGCGGGTGGCAAAAGTGCAGTGATAGCAGTTTATCATTAAAACTGTCAGAATGCTATAACACTATTGAAGATTTGGGGCATTTGCTTTTTTGTAGAAGAATAACAATGTAAGCACTGAAGGAAAAAAGTCTATTTGAGTATTTGATGCATTTTGCAGTTTCAGCAGCAAAAACGGAATTATCACTTATCAGCACTTATAAAATGAGTAGGTATAGGTGAGGATGCATAACACTTACTTATTAGTATCTGGATGAACTAACTTTTCATTCCAAAGTTCATCATATAAATTATCAAATAAACTAAAGGCTTTATGTAGGTGGCTTGAATTTATTTATGGTTTAAAAAGTGAAAAAGTTGGTTGTGCTGACTGTAAGTAGAATGGACAACTTACATTGGGAAGCTCAGTGTCTTAAACATGTTCCATATGAACAGAGAAATAAAGCTTTGCCTAGATAGAATCTGACACAAGGTAGTGTAGTGTCTGAAGCTCACAGTAAGGCACAGACTGCTCTGTTCATTAAGCATAAACATTGGAGAAAAACACATTTCTAAAGCAGGGCGAAGGGAGGATGCTCAAGCTATGGACGAACTATGGAGACGTCCTGGGCGAGGACAAAAAAGGAGATGTTGATGATAGGGACAAGGTAGACCCTAGACAGCCTGATGGTGGACCTAAAAAGGAAAAGGTTTATGATATGGATAGACCCATATTCGGGCAGCGCGCCTGGACGAGAACAGCCTTACCTAAGGCAAAGAGTATACCAGATATAAGGGCAGACATACCCAGAGTAAGACAAAGTTTTCTCTGAGACCTGTCCAGATTTGATGCATCAATCTGTACTTCTGAGTCGGACCTGGCTGACAATAAATTCCTCTTTGTTCGACCAAGTCTGCCTTAGCAGAGTTTTTTCTGCTGCACCTCCACTTGAGCTTTGTGAAGACAACCGTCCCATAATTCACCACAGTAGATATTGCGTTTCATCACTGTCACTACTTTTTTTGTCCAGTGGTACTGAAAAATGAGCTAAAAGGAGCAGGGGTGTTGTTTATCACGGAGCCGACTGAAGTAATTCATTAGTGAATTGTGGTATTCGTGCCAAAAAGAGAAAAACGGCTCGATGCCACGTCCGCTATAAATCTCCGCGACTTGAAACTGGATGTGTGCACTGTCCAGAGCTTCCTTGTCATAGCATCTTTTCATAAATGAGCACTAGAGATTGCAAAGAAAAAGTGCGGACAATCGGATCTGGTCTTTATGAAGCAATCACAGTTCACCCAAGTATTTAAGAGCAGGCCTTCTGCTGGAGAAGTACTGTCCTGCCTGGAAATATGGAGGTGGGGGATATGGGGAAGCAGCTGCCTAAAGCAAGAAGCAACATGTTATGCAGCCGTCACCCTATTGAGATTGTTGTGTTTTCTTACAGAATGGCAGATGGGGTTCTTTACTGTGTCCACATGTGCATATATTGTTCGTGCATTTGGCAGAAGCAGCAGGAGTCAAACTGAAAAAAGCATAGTGATCAGTAGTAAATATTAAACCCCCACCAGCACACACTACAATGGATATCAAAAACATTTCAGGTCTCCAGTATATGTGCAAGAAGGGATATAAATAGCCACCTAAATACATTTTAGGCTATTGTACCCAACTGTACAGGCTATGAAAAATGTTACTTTTTACCAGATGACATAAAAAATGACAGCATTCATCAGAACAAGACGCATGCAGCTCAAGTTCGCCTTGGAGTGAACCTCCAGGCCTGTCTCCTCAGTACATTGAGTGGTAACCATTCAATAGACTGAATCTGCTCTGTCGGAGCAGATTTATTTCTCGTTCTCGTAGTTTTGCATACATTACTTCGCTGATCAAAGCCACAGAATTTTGAACTCTCTTTATAAAAAGCAAGAACAAGATGATAACTTGAGCTAAATGTGTCGCTCACTGGCAGAAGTGAATTTAAAACCATCTTGCAGAAACAGCAGAAATAGTTGAATTCATCCACAGTTTGGGGCATTTGTGAGGGAGTGGGATGAATACTGAGGAGCAAAACAGCAACTTCCTTTATTGATGACTTTCACATTTGCAGCAGTCACTAAAACTTCCCTCTGTACCTAATCATTCCTAAAAATACATTTTTGTTTTTACCAGCCATTCTGATGTTGTTCCACAATACTCAACTGAGAAGTGATGCATGTGTTTCTTTTTGGTTTATTATTAGATTCTCACTATGTGCATTTTCTAAATAGTACATCATGGAGAAATTACTTCATGGTTTTCTTTTCCAACAATTGGTGCTATTGAACAAAAATAGTGGCCTTTTTCAAATACAGATTTTACAGACAAAGTAAAGAAAAGTTTTCTAAGTATTGTCATAATTTCTTACAGTGGTTTGCTGTTATCTGATGGAGATCTGTTTTTCATTTATCTCCAAGCACAAATGTTGTCCATTATTTCCAGAGGCTTACTATGACTGTATGGTAAAAATTCATTATCTGTTTAACACAGAGGACGCATAATTTAGGATTTGGCAAAAAACACTCAGTGATCATTCATTCATTATCTATTTATCTCTGACTGACTCCAAACAGGTAAAAAATGTTGTACTGAAGGCGTTGCCACCATTATTCAAGATGCCTAACTCTATCCTTGAATTTTTTCAGGTTTCTTTTAGCCTGGCCACTTCAGCAGAATGTCAGCGAACAACTGCTCTTTCAGTCTAATGGCTGAAAGGGAAGAATGGCTTTGTCCACCCGGACAGAAGTGCGTCAACATGACTTCAGGCATGAACGGCAGTCACATTGATGCTGATGATGCATGTCTGACAGAGGAAGGGTATCTGGAAAAGTATCTGGGTCCTCGTCGATCATCTGTATTCCTTCCCGTCTGCCTCACTTATTTGGTAATCTTCTTGGTCGGCGTGATGGGGAACGTGCTAACGTGCACTGTCATCGCACGAAACAAGGTCATGTGGACGCCGACAAATTACTACTTGTTCAGCTTGGCGGTCTCCGACCTGCTGGTGCTCCTTCTTGGCATGCCGTTAGAGCTGTACGAGCTGTGGCAAAACTACCCATTTCTCCTGGGGAAGGGAGGCTGCTATTTCAAAACCTTCTTGTTCGAAACGGTGTGCTTGGCTTCCATCCTTAACGTGACTGCGTTGAGCATTGAGCGCTACATCGCTGTGGTGCACCCACTGCGAGCAAAGTATGTGGTGACGCGCACCCACGCCAAGAGGGTCATCCTCACGGTGTGGGGTTTGTCGGTGTTGTGCGCCGTGCCGAACACAAGTCTGCACGGGATCATCGTCCTCCACGTTCGCTCCACCGGCCCCACCGGGAACACGAATATGGAGATACCCGACTCGGCCATCTGCACGCTGGTGAAACCACGCTGGATGTACAACTTGACCATCCAGCTGACCACCTTCCTGTTTTTCATCCTGCCCATGCTCACGATCAGCATTCTGTACCTGCTCATCGGACTCCAGCTGAAGCGGGAGAAGATGCGACAGGCGCTGGAGGCCAAGACCAGTTTTGGCCAGGAAAGCTTCTGCAACATCCGCACGCAGCAGCAGAAGGCCCGACGCCGGCAGGTCACCAAAATGTTGTGTGAGTATGAGGATCAGTCAAAAGTCCAGTAATCACAGAACCGCTTTCTGGTAACAGCAGCATCTCAGTAGCCTAGAAGAAAATGCCAGAAAAAAAATATATTATAGACCTACATTAGCCTGTCATACAAAATATTTGCAGGAACATTTGTGTAAAATAGCAGAGAGCCCATACAAATAAATAAATAAATAAATAAAATAAATAATAATAATAATAATAATAATAATAATAATAATAATAATAATAA